AAAAAAAAAAAAAAAAAAAAAAAAAAGGAAAAAAAGTAATAAATAATAAAATTGTAAGACCACCCTCTCCTCGACGACAAAATACCTCAACTCTTGTTCTGCTACCACTTCCTGGATGGAAGGCATATGCGCTTTGAATGCATTTTCTCAAACTATCTTCAGTATCCAGTGACTGAGATATTTGTTCTAAAATAACATTTCTTTGGTGCATGAGTGAGCAGTCATCGGTCAAGGCAGTTGTAGGATGTGACCCATGCTGAAAAAATTGAGCTCGTTCACGCGAGCAATTCGTGGACTGCAACATCAAACAAAGACTTCTAAGAACAGAAATAAAGGGAACACCAACAAGGGTTTTGGATACAGGAAGATGAACTTTACACAAACCTTTGGGCAGAATAGTTCATAGAATCACAAACGACGATATTAGAAAACTATGACAACAAGATAACATGGCCAGTTAATGAAAATTTTATAAAATTCCCGGGCTGAATGAATGGATCCCCAGCTGATCTCAGGCAGTTTCATAGTTATGCTAAAATATCCAAAAGTTTTTTGGCCCTACAGATTTTCTAAGATTCCTACTTCAATATAATCCAACTAAAAACTCTCTACAAATAAGCAGTTTGATGTATTCAAACGATACAGCATGCTTCACATCTGAAAAGAGAAAATAAGAATTAACAAAGAAGAAAAGAAAAGGAAAAAATGACTGCAAGGAAAGAATTCCCCCAGGATGAAGAGAAAGTCACCTATCCCATTTATTAAATAAAGCGAATCCCAGAGTAGTTTACTGGACAAACTGAGTAGTCGTTTGTGATTAAGAGTGCTTAATAGATTGTCAATTGAAGATCCCCATAATTCAACTTTTATTTGTTATAGATGCGACTGTAGGGACTTTAGCAGGAACCTTTTATAGAACATCTTCCTTAGGCAATATGTCGAGATGATCTATTGTATTAAACTTAATTTTTCTGTAAAATGGAAATAAATAGCCTTCTCACTAGCTTGTTACCAGGGATTTCTACTTACACCGATTAAACAAGATGACAAAATATAATCCGAACAATTTCCTTCATATTCAACATCACATGCAAGCAATTAAAAGATCAACACATATGGCAGCCTCCTGAAACTTTAATGTACCTTCTCACTAGGTTGGCCCACTGAATCTTGAGATATTTTCTTATTCTCTGCAACCTTGGCAATCTTCCGTCTCTTGTACGTAAGCAAACCCTCACTACCAGATTCATTCGAACAAGTTTCTCTACTTACTGCAACACCATTGGCCTTCACTGCCTTGACGTTAGGTCTCATTGATACTCTTCGAGAACCAATTTCACTACCACAACCTTTACCCTCTTTTTGTGTACCCACCATATCCAATCACAAGTTACTGAAGCCAAACAACCAGCAGTAGAGCCATAGCCGATGACCAAACCTTAAATTAAACCACAAAATCAGCCAGCTGCCCCACCAATTCCACATAAATTTGCACAAGAGAAAATGAAAATCCAAGTTAAAATGCAAACACCAATTAACCGCAACCCCACCCAACACGTAGCAGGTCAAGTACATATATATA